AGCCCTGAGGCTGCGGGCGCGGGGTCTGGGAGTCCTCGGGGACGAGCAGCGGCACCTCTAACCCCGGGGACGCGCCCTCGCCTCCCCCTCCTGTGTCATCGACCTCCCGGTGCCCTGGTGCGCACGGCCTGCCCACCCGCTGCAGCCCTCGGGATGAGCCCACCCCCAGCCCCGGCCAAAGTGAGGCTGGATGCGGGGGCACGTGGGGGCAGGCCGGAGCTGGCTGTTTGACCCTCACCCGGTGGGGCAAAGGCTGTGGCTGGCCCCCTGGCGCGAAGGGAGCTTGTGCACGGAGTTAGACCCCCCACCCGGGGGGCCGGATGTTCACACGGTGACCCATCTGAACGCCCGAGATTGGACAGGGTGTGCTGGCTGGCTGAGATCCTTCTAGAATCACTTGAGGTCCATGTTTCTCTTTGGCTGATGGTTGGGGAGATCGGAAACATGATGATCCTCTGGATGTGCCTCAGTTTACCCAGTCCTCACACTCCAATGCAAAGCGCACAACGGTGGTGCACCCCGTTTGGGAGGAAGGGCCGGTGGCGTGTCTCACAGGGTCGCTCATTGGAGACCTCACGGGAACCCCCGGAAGTACTCGGGGTGTCGCTCCCACACACGTCTTGGCTCGGAGCGGGGGCGGAAGCGGCAGCAGCTGGTCTGCAGACTGGGGAGCCCCACGGCGGGGCAGCGAGGCGAGAAGAGTCCCCAGAGGTCCCCAGCTGGCCAGTGTGGCTCAGGTGCGTGGGCCGTGCTCGTCACGTCGGAAAACAAGCAGACCGTCCGAGAACAGTGGGGCACAGCCAACCGACTGACCACCACCGCCGCCCCCCCAATTTCGTGGGTCACAGCCTGCTGGGCGGAGGGGCTGCTCACTTACAGGCCGGTGTCGGCCGAGACGCATGGGCACGGCGTGGAAGGTGACGTCTGAGAGGCGGCTGCCTTTCTTACCAGGAGGGGGCGCTCTCCCGGGGCCCCCGGGGGCTGCATCTCTGTCCTGGAAACACTTGGTCCTGCTAGAGTCCTGGTTGACCTCAGGGCGACTCAGCCGTGTGGTGTGTGCCTGGGGCGGCCCGGGGGAGACACAGCACCCCTGCGGGAGTACCCCTGCGACTCCTCGTGAGGACGACAGACGGACTTCAGCGGAGACCAGGCGGGACTGGGCAGTGCCCGGCCGCCTCCCCTCCGGCACCGACCGCACTTGACCCCGGAGGCAGGAGCAAGGCCGTCCTGCTCCCTGCACCCCAGGCCAGCCCTCGGCAGACAAGAGACGTCCCCGCAGGAGAGGACAGGAGACCGAGAACCGCGGGTGGCTGCCCCCCCGCGGACCTCCCACCACCCACTCCGCTGCCTTCCTGTCCTCACGGAGCCCCTCTCAGCTCTGGGAGCGACCTCGTCTGCTTCTGGGTCGACACCCGCCCCCCGCCCCAGAGCGGGGGGGTAAAGGCCAGGGGCAGGTCTGTGCCCCCTGCTCCTCAGGGTGTCACCAGCGCACGGGCGTTCATCACGGCCGCGGAGTGAACAGGGGTGGGTGGCCAGCGACAGTAGGGGACCCGCCAGGTCGTCCCTCTTCCAGCCGCACGTGCGCGAGTGGCGTCTTCTCATGGGGCTGCCCGGCGGGACAAGGACGGCCCCCAGGACGCCCACAGGACGCGGGGGTCTCAGCTTCCCTTCCCATCGCAGCTTGCGGGCCGACAGTGGAAATCGGGAAAAGACAGCCGGGGTTGGGGGCAGGGGACGCTGAGACTCACGAGCGGAGGAGGGAGACGGTGTTGACATGCGGACGCCACGCGCAGGTCTGCAGCGACGGGGCTGTGCCCTGGAGACCGCGGGAGGGGAGGGCCCGGCCGGCCGTGAAAGGGCGGAGGTCCCGGCCTGAGGCCCAGTCCCGGCTGCTCCCCTCGCCTTCCCGGAGACGGGGTCAGCCCCGGTTCCCGAGCGACAGAGGAGAGTGGGCGGGTCGCAGGAACGGTGGGATGTCTCTGTGGGCGGTAGAGTCCAGGGGAGGGGGGACGAGATGAAGGGGTCCGATCTCTGATGTGCCCACTTCACATGGTGACCACGTGGGAGTGGCGCCCAGGCCCGAAGTCCCGGGCACTGAGCTGGGAGGAAGGCTTGAGGGGGGTGGACCCACAGGCGGGTGGGCTGTGAGGAGGAGGAGGAGGAGGGCCCGGAGGCTGGAGGTCACTGCATTGTCGCGGCTGCGTTCCCACTGGCCGGGTCGGGACAGCGGGCCGGAGTGCTGAGTCCAGGCGTCCATGCGGAAGGTGCTCCGTGAAGGACCCGGAGGGCTATCTGGGGGCCCCCCACCCCAAAACTCGGGATTGGGAAGGGCTGGGGGCACTTGGGGGGAAACACTACGTGGCCTCTCCTTTCCACGCAAGACACTAACCCTGGCCGCCCCGCGGGGGCCCTGCCCTCCCCCACGGAGCGTGAGCAGGGGGCGGTGGACGAGCGGCTGGGGGGCACGCGGCTGGTTCCGAATGGACACCCTGGCACCACGCCCGGGGGGAGGGGTCGGGAGGCTGGCCTGCCTGTCCGAACCTCTTCCCCGTGGCCCTCGGAATTTGGAAACAGAATTAATTAGGCCCACTGTGTCAGCAGATGAAAATGACCTCAAGTTCAGGAAGACGAGAAGGGACTGAGCCCGGATGTGGACTTGACCTCCCGGCACAGAGTCCCCCAAGGCCAAGCCCAGGCGTTCTGACAGCTCTGGGGGCCCCCGGGTGGGCCGGAACAGTGACCGCTGCCCAGGGCCCCGAGGGGGTGGAGCTTTGGAGCCGCTGCCGGAGGAGCTGGAGCTGGACGAAAACGGGGCGATCACACCGACCCCGTACGCCGCCCTTCCTCCTTCAGGTGCCGGTCGTGAGGGGGAAGGGGGCGGAAGCCAGTGGACAGGCGGGGCCCTGGACGCGGGGGTGAACACACGGGGGGACTCGCTGTCGGACTCCAACTCCGGCAGAGAGGACCGGGCGGCCCAGGGCAGCGTTGGGTGGGGCCACCTGCCTTGGGCCCTGACACGGGTTCGGGGACAGACCTGGGCTCGCGCCGCAGCGCCTGTTCTGGTTTCCCGGGCTTTCGTTCCAGAGACCCCACCGTGAGGGGGGGCCGGGGGGGGCCAGCCTGCTCCCCTCACTCCCTCTCTCCTTGTGCAGAGGTGACGTTTCCAGGTGTTCCCAAGAAACCACTAAGAAAATGAAACATCTCGACACGCACACCCTCCCTCCCCACGCAACAAAATGGTGGCCTTCCCCCGACTGACCGGTCCTGACAGATGTCCACGCGGAACGGGCCTTCCGAGCAGGCAGTGTTCCGGCGTGGCGTGTCCGGCTGTGTGTCCAGTGGGGTGGGGGACGCAGGGGGCTGTCGTCTTAGGCTGCCCCCCACGGTGCGTGAGCAGGGGGACAGTGGAAGTGCATCCTTCCGTGGCTCGGTGTCTGGTGGCACCCCAGAAAGAGCTCAGGCACCCAGAGAGCGGCCTGTGGCCTGGGGTCAGAGGTGAGCTGGTGGACACTGAATGGAGGCCCCCCGGAATCCCGGGTTCCCACTGTCCGGGGACGAGGGTCCCCGAGCCGCCACCTCCTTCCCAGCTCTGGGCTCCCTGTGGCTCAGGGCCGAAGAGCAGAGTGGCAGGCCCCAGGGGGCGGGGGGACGGGGGGGGTGGGGACACTGCTGGCCCTGGGCTCGCGCCCTCGCCAAGCCGTGCTCGCCGGGGCGGGGAGGCCCGGGGCCCACTTCCAAAACGAGCCATGTGAGGGAGTGCCCTCCGGGGGTCCCAGGAGCCTGCAGACCCCCGGGCGGTGCCGGGTGTTTGTGCTCTCTCCACACGTGCCGAGGCCTCGGGGAAAAGGGCAAAACCAAAAGCAGAGGGACACGACCCAAGCAAACCGACTTTCCAACCTCGTGAGCGACACGGCGGGGGCAGAGCCGGACGCCGCGGGCCCCACGCACACCCCCCTCCGCCGGCCTCGCGCACACTCCCCGTTTCCGGAGCCGCACACGCGGACCTTTCTAGCGCACCCCAAGGTGTTCCCGAGGGAGCCGGAGCCGGCGGAGGGCTCCGGGGGTTGCCGGCCCAGCCGAGAAGCAGGCTCGGGGCACGGCGGTCTGCCAGACCTCGAACCTTGGCACGGGATGGGTCCGGGCCCCCACCGGTGAGATCACCGCGGCAGGAGGGCCGTTCGCAGGACACCAGTCGGGCACAGGAGGGGACTGGGGGCCCCGTGAGGGGGGCGTGTTCCCCAGCGGGGGCCGAGGCCCTCAGGTGGCTCCCCGTCTCACACGGTGGCCCCTCGGGCAGCAGGACGGGCACCTTCGTAAGGTGGGGCTCACGGCGGGAGGCAGGGGGGTCGCCCACCTGGGAGAGGGCAGTGTTCCTGATGCACTGTGTGTGGTTGGGATTGTCGGCAATGGGGCTCCAGCCTGCGGTGCCGTTTCCACAGGGGGGCTCCCCAGGGGACTTGTGGGGGGCAAACCTCAGACGTGGGCCAGCGGGAGCCCACAGGAGACACCGTGTTTGCTACGGTCTCCCCGGGACTCAGAGTCACCCTTGGGCCCCAGAAACAGCAGGCGACCTCTGTCTGCGAACGCGGTGGGGAAGGAAAGCGGACCCCGCCCGGGCTCCGCTCGCACGCCCGTTTCCCTCCCGTTTGCCGGCACACCGGGGCCTCGTCAGCCCCCCGACTCCGCCCTCACACACGCACACACGTGGCAAGGACACACTCCTTTAATTTTGGGAACTGGAAAGGTTCTTTAATTCGATCTACGCTTATATAACACAAAGATGGCCAAGACTCCGCCACCCGCCCGGCCCGGCGCGCGGGCCCGTGTGTTGACAGCCGGCCACGGGAACCACCGATCCAGAGGAGATAGTATTTACGTGTGTGTATATATATCTATGTATATAAGTATGTATACAAAACCACGGCGGCCCCCGCCGCAGCCCGCGGCACCAGACTGCGACTCCAGTACCGTCCCCGCGTGTCCGGCAGACGCCGGGCGTGTCGCCCGCGGGTCTGTGTGGGTGGGTGGAGGCCGTCCCCCGGGGGATGGCGAGGAGACGCCGGGGCGCCAGGAGGGAGACGCTCCCCCGTGGGACCGCATTTCCAGTAGACGCATATATATACACGCGTGCGGAGACGTCTGCGTGTCCGGGTGTGTGCCTGCGTGGGAGGCCGCGTGTGGCGTGTGCGTGAGTGGGCACAGTAGAAAACACCAGTGGGTTGCGCGCGCACTAAGCATGTTAAATAAACCAGGTGTGTCACCGATCACACTCATTTTTAAAAAGGAACATTGAAGATATTCAAAAATTGCTACGGTACAAAAAAGTGTGTGTGTGTGTGTGTGTGTGTGCGCATGTGTGTGTGTCTTTATAGATTTATCTACATCGAGATCAACCGGAAGAGACTCCCACCCCCGTTGTCCGGGAGACGTCTGTGCGTGGCCCTCTGGCTGCGGCGGCGCCTCGTCTTCCGGGTCCGTCCATGGCACATGTGGTATTATTGGCACAGGTTCAGGATCGCGGCAGCACGGACCCCAGGCGTCCCCGTCGCGGCGTCCGCGTCCCTCGCCGCCGTCCCCAGGTCCTCGCCGGCGTCCCTCGCTCGCCGCCCTTCCCCCGAGCGCCCGGAGGAGGCAGGCCCCCATAGGCGCAGGCATCTCTATAAAAATATATTTGGCCTATAGCGTCCTGCTCCGAGTCCCCACCGGCACACAGAAGTGGTGGGTGCGGGGGCCCTCCCCCTCAGAGAGTTTAGTTTTAGGGTTTTGTTTGTTTTTAATTGAATTGAAGTTTTTTACAGGTTCGCCAACGGAATCCTGCGTGGAGAGAAAACAAGGAGACGTTACGTGGCAGTGGTTACGTGGCGGCAGTGGGCCCAGGGCAGGGTGAGGCCGTGCGGCCGCCGTGCTCCCGGCCGATCGACCGACACCGTGGCCTCGGCACAGGAAGGGTGTCCCGCGGTGTCCGGACACCTCCCCAGCCCCCCAGGGACCCCAGGGCAGGCAGCGGGCCGGGACCTCGTGTCAGTCACGGCCCTGGATGGAGAGGCCGTTTCGCCCCTGCACGGGCAGTGGGGCTGGGCTTCCTGAGCGGGGGGGCGGGGGGGGGCGGGCCCCCTGGGGCCCCTGCCGGTCTGGGGCCTGGGGGACGGAGGCAGTGTCCCCGTCATCGCCTCACCTGGCCTTCCCCCGCAGACGTCACCTGTGTGGGGGCCCCGCGGGACCACCCTCTCCGCTGGGCCACCCGTCAGACCACCCCGCCCCCACCCACCTCCTCCAATGTCTAGGATTTGGGGGAGCGCTGGTTGGAAAGTGAAGTGATTAAAGCAAAGAGGAAGGTCCACCTGGCATGTCTCCCCGCCTTCTGATCTTGTGATCATTAAACTGCGTGGAGACCAGCACCCCCGCCGAGTCCCCCTTCGGCGAGGTGAGGCCCCTGGGGGAGTCCCACCCGCAGGGACAGAGAGCGGGCGGGAGCCAGGGGCTGGGGGCGGGGCTGGGGGGGCCGGTGTTCAGCGGGGCGGAGTCCCAGGTCCGGAAGGTGGAAGGTTCTGGAGAGGACGGTGGTGAGAGCCACGCAGTGGTGTCAGTGCACCGACGCCCCTGGGCTGGGCACTTAAAAATGGTTGGGAGGGTCCATTTTGTGTTTCATGCATTTCACCACAATTTTTAACACATTAAAAAATTTACAAGCTGGTCCTGATGAGCCTCCAGCCGGTTCCAGTGACCGGGCCGCCTCTGGTTTTAGCTGCTGTCTGTCTGCGGTCCCGGCGTGGCGACCAGCGGCACCCCGTCCTTGCTCCCGGACGGACCGGGGTGGGAGGGGGCTTCCCGAGCGCCGCTGCCTGGGCTGACTTCTGACCTTGACCCGGTGATGGGGGCTGCTCCTGCGCATCCCCTCGGCCAGCCGTCCCTCGGGGCTCTCCGTACACACGCCCCTCGTTGCTTTCCAGATGCCGGCCCCTGGGTCCTTCCAGACACGAGTGACCCCGCCCCTCGGCTCTCTGTCTCCCACCCCTCGGCTCTCTGTCTCCCACCCCCCCCAAGTCCCAGACAGCATCCAGACCTCAGACCTCGCGAGTCTGTGGCCGGTCCTTCGTGGACACAGCCCCTTCCCTAGACACAGGCTCCGTTGCATCTCGGTCTGTGAGTGAGTCTGGTTCTACGACTCCTCGGCTGCAGGACGAGCGGCAGTGGTTTTTATCTGGGTGCGTGTCACGCACGCGCGACCCCGGGCACCACGGGGCGCCTGCCGGGCCCGCCTTCAGATCACCCGGTTCCAGCTCTGTGCCCGGCCCGGAGAGGGAGCCCCGTGCCGGGGGAGAGAGGCCTTGGCCTCAGCCCTTGCCTGCAGGTGGGTGCTGGAGCGGGCCAGTGTCAAGGACTGACGGACGGAGGGCCTCTCGGAGGAATGGCCGATGGCAGTGGGGGACGGGAGCCTCTTCCCAACTGACCCACAGGCATCTGCCTCTGCCCCGGGTCTCAGAGGCAGAGAGGGAGGCAGGGCCCCAGGCCTGAGCCTTAACTTGCCGTTGTGAGAGCAGCGCTGGAAGCCGTGCTGTGAGCAGCCGCTGCCCGGACCACCCACCCGGCCAGCCGTGGACAGAGGGCGAGGAAGGGAGAGAAACATCGGTCAGCCACCTCCCGCATGAACCCCGACTGGGGAACGAACCCGCAACCCAGGAAAATGCTAAATTTCAGTCAGAAATTAGTGAACATCTTCAGCTAGAAGATAGCTTGAGAGCCCACGGACCTCGGGAAAAGAACACCTCATTTGGGCTCTACACAGAAACACCTGCTTACATTGTCTGTTCCTGTGCCCTTCCTGCCTTTTGGGACAGCCACCTGTGTCTCCTGGACTCCACTGACACCGGATTAAGAGACTTCCGGCCAAGATGGAGGCATAGGCAAGCATGCTTGCCTCTGCACACGACTACGGCAAAGATTACAGCTAGACTGCAAAACCAGCGTCATCCCGATTCATCAGAAACTCGAGCCATATGGCAGCCGGACAAGCAAGGATTTGGAGAAGCCACAGTCATCCACACAGGTGCCTTTTCTACAACAGGTCACGTGACTAAGACAGGGGTCAAAGCAGCTCTACCTAATACCCAGAAACAGACACAGGGAGGCTGCCACAACGCAGAGACAAAGAAACACGGCCCAAATGAAAGAAAAAACTCCAGGAAAAGAACTAAATGAAATGGAGAGAAGCAACCTATCAGATGCGGAGTTCAAAACACTGGTGGTCAGGATGCTCAGAGAACTCACTGGGCACTGAGACAGCATAAAAAACACCCAGGCAGAAACGAAGGTTGCATTCAGTGAAATAAAGAAAAACCCACAGGGAGCCAGCAATAGAGGGGATGAAGCCAAGATTCAAATCAACAATTTGGAACATAAAGAAGAAATAAGCATTCAACCAGAACAGCAGGAAGAAACAAGAATTCAGAAACACGAGAACAGAATAAGGAGCCTCTGGGATATTTCCAAATGTACCAATATCCGAATTGCAAGGGTACTGGAAGCAGAAGAGGAAGAGCAAAAAGTTGAAAAGTTATTTGAAAAAAATAATGAAAGAAATCTCCCCTACTTTGGTGAAGGAAATAGACATACACGTCCAGGAAGCACAGAGAGTCCCAAATGATTTGGACACAAAGAGGACCACACCAAGACACATCATAATTAAAATGACAAGTTTTCAAGATAAAGAGGAAAATCTTAAGAGCAGCAAGGGAAAAGCAGTTAGTCACCTACGAAGGAGTTCCCATAAGACTGTCAGCTGATTTCTCAAAAGAAAGCTTGCAGGCAAGAAGAGGCTGGCAAGAAGTATTCCAAGTCATGAAAAGCAGGGACCCACGGCCAAGATCGCTCTACCCAGCGAAGCTGTCATTTAGAATGGAAGGGCAGATAAAGCGCTTCCCAGACAAGGTAAAGCTAAAGGAGTTCATCATCATCGACAAGCCATTAATACATGACATGTTAAAGGGACTTATCTAAGAAAAAGAAGATCAAAACTATGAGCATTAAAATGGCAACAAATACACAACTATCAACAACTGAATCTAAAACAAACTAAGCAAACAACCAGGACAGGAACAGAATCACAGAAATGGAGATCAGCGGGGAGGAGGAGGAGAAGGAGGAAGGATGGGGGGAAAGGTACAGGGTTTAAGAAGCATAAATGGCAGGTACAAAACAGACAGGGGGAGGCTAAGAATAGTATGGGAAATGGAGAAGCCAAAGAACTCACATGCACGACCCATGGACATGAACTAAGGAGGGATTGCTGCAAGGAATGGGGGTACCAGGTAGAGGGGGGCAAAGGGGGAAAAATGGGGACAACTGTAATAGCAAAAGCAATAATATATATATTTAAAGGTCAGAAAAGGAAGCTGGGTGTTGCCTGGTGGTCCGAGATGGGGATCCAGGCCAATGCTGACTCTGGGGAAACTAGTGCCCCCCACTGCCTGGAAGGGGGTCTCCGCTCGCCGGGCCCCACTGGCTACGAGCCCCACGGTGGGTGGGGCACGAGCTTCATGCCCAGCGTCTGCTTTCGCAAACCCAAGAGCCCAGAGCGGTGCGGGAGCACCGCGGCCGCCGGCTGGCTTCTCCCCGCCGGGAGCGGCCGCTCTCCCGCGGAGCTTGCCTGGCTCGGGGGGTCTTCCCTGGCCCTCAGCTCAGACAGACGGTTTCCAGAAGCATCTGCGTGTTGCTTTGGAAGAAAGCGTCCCTTCAAATGGCAAAGGCTGGTGATCCTGTTAGCGTGTTTTGTTTTTTTTTTAGAACAAAGCGGTGAGGCTCAGGTGCTTTTCCTGTTTTCTTATTATTATGTCCTCGGCGTGTCGTTGAAAATAGTAATTCTGCGTGATGGATGCCTTCATTACGGCTCCGGCTCTGTTTGGGAGGAAGCGGCCTCGGCCAGCGGAAAGATCTGGGCGCTGGTGCGCTTTTGTGAAGTTTACTTGCTGTACAAAAAAATGACAGGCCATTAGCCCGCAAGCCAGCGGCAGGGTGTCTGAGGTCACCCTGCTCGCAGCGGGAAGGCCACCGAGGTCACCGTGCCTCGTCCTGGGCGTTCAGTGGGGCTGCAGCGTGGAGGCAGCTACTCGGCCAGGCTCTGCTGGAACCCAACGCAGAGGCTCCGCCTAGGGGCCCAGTGAGCGCTGCCCTGCCTGGCCAGGGCGCCCGTGCCTGCCCGCCTGCCCGCCTGCCCGCCTGCGGGGGAAGCGACGCTGGCCAGGTCTGGGCCCCAGACGCGCTCGTGGGTTCGCGTGGGCGGACCAGACGGCCTGGTGACAAACGGCTACAGCATCATTAAGAATGCATTTGCAGAGGCTTAGCGGCTACGCCAGAGATAAATGTCACCGCCGGCTCTTAGGCCTTAATTAAATGTTTTAGTATTAATTGCTATTTATTTAAGGGGTAATAAGGACCCCAGTGAATGGGAGAGATCTTCCTGGTTATCCTCTGCTCCGCGCTCGTGTCCAGGCATTAATTACGGGGCTCGGGGACGCGGGGCCTCCGCATGTCCTCCTCCCGGCGAGTGACAAATGGCTGCCCGACGCACGGCCGTGGAATCTCGAAGCGTCTGTCGGGGGCTAACAAGGCGGCGGGCAGAGCCGTCCTGGTCCTCACCCTCTGCCTGGTGTCCGCAGGCGCCGTGGCTGGGCGAGGCTGGGCGCCTGCAAGTCCTGCGGCCTCTTCTGGGCTCCCCAGCCATCCACCTGCACCCTCCGTCCACCTGGATCCGAGCGGGTCAAGGTCTGTGGACATGGAGGCGCCCCTCCTTCCGTAAGCGCGCTCCTGAGACGGCTCCTCGGGCACAGCTGGAGGGCGGGGCCCAGACACCTTGCAGGCCGGGGGCCGAGTGGCCTGGGGCCGGTCAGCTCTGCCCCTTACAGCCGGGTGGGCCTTGGGCCAGTCACCTCGCCCCCGGGCCTCCCTTCCCCGTCTGCAGGTGGGGCTGCTGGGAGCACTGAACTTGACTGGGTTCCTAGGCTTCGGAGCGCTCCCACGTGCTGCCATTCGCACGTCTGCTGAATTAGGGAAGCGTCCCTCATGGCGGGGCTACCTGGAGCCAAAGGTGCGTCTGCCTCCAGGCCCGGGGGCCTGCAGGTCTCGGAGGAGGAAGGGAGCGGGGGCCTTGCACGCACAGGCTGGCATCGCCCAGGTCCAACGCTCTCATCGCCCTTTAGGAATCCTCCTAACAGAGGTGCCGGCCGTCGCGGGGCCGCCTGCGGATGAGTGAGGTCTTCTGCTAATGAGTAAGGTCCCCTTCGCCGGTCTGGTGGCAGCAGAGGGAGCGCCCTGTGGCCTTAGCAAGGTGTCCCCTAGAGGCGGATGACAGCACGGGCTTCTGACGGCTGGGCCACGCCAGGCGCCTCGGGCCCTTGAATCGGGGGACAGAACTCATCCTGCCCGCTTTCCCCGCGCAGCCTCAGCAAAGGCGTTGGAGGGGGAGGCTCACTTTCCGTTCTAACCTAATTACATTTCCTCGCCCGTTGGCTGAACAGCACGCTAAGCAGGTCAATTTGGCTCCGGGACAGGAAGGGAGGGCTGGAGATTTAATTTGGAGCAAACGCACTATTCATTAGGACCCGGCCCAGGAACGGACCGGCCCGTTCCTGCTCCTGCAGGCAGCTGGCTGCTCCGGCCCCAGCTGGGGGCTGTGAGCGGAGTCCTCGGTGTCCGCGAGGGCTGGAGGAGACCCCTCCTCCCGGCCTCGGGCCCTGTCCCCCACTGTGACCATGGCTTTGCCCATTTGGTCCCCACAGCAGGAGGTGGGCAGGGAGAGAAAAAATATTCTCACACATGGAGACCATCCTAGAAATCGGGGTCCCTACTCCAGGAAGGGATCTGAGTTCACGTGCAGAAGGAGTATCTGGAGGGTGGGGAGCTGCTTTCTCTGGATGAGCAAAAAGGGGATCCTCAGAACACCAAGCACCCAACTTAAAAGACCCCGAGCCCGGGGTGGCCTCCACCGGCTGTGCCCCGGCACGTGCAGCCAGGGGGCCGGGCTGCCGGGCCGCCGGGCGCTCGGCACAGAAGGAGGCGTTCGACGTGGGCGCTGACGTTGATGCCCTTGGAAGGAGCGCAAATGTTCCTGACCAGCAGAGCATGAAAAGTCCATCCTGCTCTGGTACCCGGCCCGCTTCGAATGAGCGGGTGTCTTCTCTCTTCCTCGTTTTCCTTCTTATCTCCTACTTTTATATTTCAAAGTTGTATTGTGATTCCGCCCGGCGCCCCCGCCCCACGCGTGTCAGGGCGTGGGATGGCGGGAAGCCCGCCCTCTTCGCCGCCGCCGCCGCCTGGGCCGCCTGCTGCTCCGGGCGTGAGAGCTGCGCCCGGAGCCGGCCCCCGGGACGGGTTTCCCCTGCCCTGCAGGCCTGCTGACGCTGGCCCTCCCTGGGGGCGGAGAGACGCTGGCAGACCCGGCCCCAGTGCCGCCAGGTCAGGGCGCCTGAGTGCCAGTCACTCCGGCACTGGGACCTGGGGGGGTTTGTAAAGGGTGCGGCAGAGAGTGCACAAGCCCCCCACCCCTGCCACAACCCCGGCTTTGCTCAGAAAGGCGATGACGCTGGAACGCCCCCCAAGGTGTCGCCACGCAGGTGGCTTCCCCAGAGGGAGAACTGGGTGGGGGAGCGGGGGCGACAGGGGAAGGGAGTCAGCTCGCAAGGGGGGTACGCACCATGAAACAGACGCGTGGCGTCTGGCCTGCCCCCAGGAGGTAAAAAAGACTTCGGCCAGTCAGCAGGAGATTTCAAACCACTTCTCGGACACGAAGGCCACGGGGATGAGGTGCCGGTCCGAAGAGGTGGGCCTGCAGGGAGCAGAGGGGCGGGCTGGCTCGGCTGCTCGGACCCCGGCAGGCGGCACCGGCCTGCTGCTGCACCGGCCTCTCCAGGCGCAAAGAAGCCCCCCCCCGCCCGCCCCGCCCAGGAAGGTGGTGCTCAGCTGGGACCCACCGGCCTGGGGCAGGCAGGGGCCCTTGCCCTCCCGGGGGCTGGCTTGTGCCCTGCCCACCTGGGTGGCCTTGGAGGACACAGAGCCCGAGGGACCGGTCACCGGAGGGCTCGGGGTGGGGGCCGGGAGGCCAGCATCCGGGTGCTGCCGGGCCCCCTCCGGATTTTAGCATTTCAGTCACAGGACCCGCCCAAAGCTCGGGGTCTCCGCCTGAGAGGGCAGGGACGCAGCCTGCACTGTCACACAGTACAAGAGGGCAGGGCCTGAGCCCTACAATGCCGTCCCCATATTTTGTCACCCTTGAGACTAAGCCAGAATCCCCGAGGCCAGTGAGGGCCAGCAGAGCGCCGCCTTAGGCTGAAAGCAAGAGCCTTTTCCATCCCATGCTCCCTCGCCGGGGCGTAAGAACACCAGCCGCACCACACCCCTCCCCACCCCGCACCCGTGCACAGGGCTGGCACAGGACACAGGGGCAGGGCACGGGACAAGGGGACACGGTGACCGAGCCACAGCCACCGGCCGACACACGGCGTGGCCAGGGTTCCCATCCAAACCGCACGCGTGCTTGGTGTCAGGGAGGAGAAGTCCCCCTGCCGGTCCCTCTGGGGGCTGGGGGGGCTCGGCCTCTCGAGGGTGACCTGGCATTTGGGGGGACGGTCCCCAGCACCCCCCTCTCCACCCCCCTCCCCCAGGAAAGAGGCGCCTCGCACACAGCAGGGAAGGTGGTCCCGCGTGGGGACACCGGGGACGGCCCTGTCCTCGCAGAACGGATGAGGTCGCGCCAACCCTGGGCTCTGCCGCGGGAGGTCACCCCGAGTCCCCCCCCATCCTGGTTCCGGGCGGAGCCGCCCCCCCCGGCCATGCCTTGGCCAGCGCCCCCCCCTCACCGCCCGTCCTCCCCTGACAGCGGCCCGCAACCCGCCCCTGGTTCCCCTCTGAAGATGAAGTTGTTGCAGTTTTTTTTTTTTAATTTCTAAAATGAGGCACGCATATATGCCTGTTTAAAAAAAATAGCTTATTGATGTTTTAATCCAATTCTGGATGAACCTCCCGAAGCTGACTCAGGGTTTCTGGAGCGCTCCCGGGCACGGTGTCAGCGCTGTGTCTTCCCCACAGGACGACACGTGATTAATAAAGAGGGGGAAAAGCACTGAATAACCGGGAGTCTGGTGGATGTTTGATAGTTCTGCCCGATGCGCTGTGGAATGCACTGTGGACGTTTTATCGGCGGGGCTCAGAGGTGCTGACTCGGGGAGGGCGGATCCGGGCCGCTGGCCACTGGGAGGTCGGCTACGGGACTGGCGTCGAGCTCCGGGCGAGGGCGCCCACCACGGGGCATTGGGGCAGGGAGGCGCCTGGTCCGCCCCCTCCCCCTCCCCCCCAGTGCAGGTGTGGACGGGGGTCCCGGCTGCCCGTTGTGTCCTCTGTCTGTGCCCGTCCACCCTTGCAGCACCTGCCGGACCCCCGGAGACACGGGAGGGGCGCCCCCCTAGCCCGTCCCCGGCCGGCGCCCCGCCCCGCCCGCGCTCACCGGTTCCCGTTGAACGTGGACTTGTACTCCCCCGCGGAGCGCAGCGTCTCGTCGGCGTAGGCGGGCACGGGGGCGCGCACGCACTCGTGCGAGCACTGCAGGGTCTCGTTGTAGGCCGTGAAGATGTCCAGGCTGCTGGGCACCCGGGCGGGCGTGAAGTCCGTCAGGTTCTGGCAGCTCTCCTCCTGCTGGTTGGCCTTCCGCTGGTGGCTGTTCCTCCGGGGGTTCCCGCTTTGGGCGCAGCTGGAGGAGAGGGACGGCATCGTCGGGTGTGGGGGGTGGGGGGGTGGGGGGGTGGCGGGTCGAGGCCCCATGACCTTCGTCCCCAGGCACTGGCCACACACGGTTCCGTGTCAGAGGGCAGTGTCTGGCCTCTTCGGGAAGACCGACCGCAACCACCGGCCAGCACCTGTCCTAAGTAAAACCTGGAGGTCCAAGGTGTCCGTCCGTCTTGCAGGGAGGGTCGTCGGGGGCGTGGCTGCGCTCTCTTACCCGGAGCTGAGGCCTCCTTTGGCTTAAGAGCGCCAGCCAGCCGGCAGGCCCTCGGGCCCCTCCCCCACTGCCCCCAGATGCCTTGACAGGATGAAAATCGATGGGTCCCCAAGGGGGACCTTTGTGCACGGTCCGGGGTGGCCTGGTCACGCGTGTTGGGAGCGACCGTATCGTTATCTTTAGGGACCGATCCGATGTTGGGACCCCTCCCCCGCCCTTCCTTCACCCCGAGGGGGTCTGTGCAGAGAACTGCCGTGTGGTGCCCTGTGGGGACCTGCCTCATTTCCCTGTCCCCCTGGGCCACAGAGGCTTCCAGGTGGCCCCTCAGATGGACATGGGACCCTGACCCTCGTGAGCCAAGGGGTCGGACGCAGTGACGGTCAGAACATCCTGTTCCTGGATGTCACTCACTCTGGCAGGTTCCCACGCAGGGGTTGGGTGGGGGGGGGAAGTCCCCACCACCTGGAGAAGGGTGGTTGTGAGGAAATTTGGGGAGCCCCCACTTTGGAGGACTAGCTCCCCTTCTCCACTCCTGCCCTCTAAGGTCAGAGCTGACTGAAAGAGAGCTCCCCACTGCTGGCCCGGAGCCCAGCCCCCCAGGTCACGGAGCCGCTCGCCCAGGGCCGGGCCGTCGCCCCGAAGGGCCGTGGCAAGGTTTGCCACAGACCCAAACGTATGGGGAAACCGAGAGGAAGCTGGCAGCCCGTCCGTCACCCAGTGGGTCACGCGTCCACAGTCTCTTCAGGGGAGGGGTCTGCCCTTCCTCAGGATGCTCAGCTGCTGCGGGGGCCGCGCATCCACGCGTGGGGCCTGGCCCCACCCAGGAAGCCTGCCGCGGGCCGAGGGCCACCGTCCCCCTCGTCGGTCTAGAGAACGCCCAGGGTCCCGGCTTGCCGGCCGTCGGAGGGGCTGCAGGCCTCACCGGCCTGTGTGCTCTGCACGCACGGGCCGGCCCCCGGCTTTCCACCTGTTCCGCTGGCGGGCGGGCACTCGGGCCGCCCCCGCCCAGCAGCCCCGGAGGATTCCCTACCGGTGGCGGCATCTGCAGGCGGCAGGGCATTGCCAGGCGGGGCGGGCCCCTCCGCGGGGGAGGTTAGGCTTTGATGCCGGAAGGAGCCACGCTGGCTGGGGGAGGGGCGGCCGGCAGGCGGGGGTGGGGGGGGTGGGTCACTCAGCGGCTCCCCGCTTTCCCAGGGGGGTAGCAGGTGTGTGCACCCAGCAAGGCCAACCTTGAAATAGGCCAATTTCCAGGAGGAAATAGGCAGAGACAGGCCGCCCGGAGCAAAGCAGTAACCTAATTCAGCAGACACGGGGCCGCTCACTGAGGGAGGCCGTGGGGGTGGGGGGGGGGGGCCGAGAGGAGGGGTGGGACAGCTCAGGACAGCCCGGGACAGTGAGGGGTAGTGGGGGGCTGTGGGGGGCTGTGAGGGGCTGTGAGGGGCCGCAAGGGGCAGGCACAGCCCCCGCCCAGGCCGCTGCTAGGAAATAAAGACAAGGGCGTTACGGGCTGGGCCCGGGGTCCAAAGGCACCTGGATCTGAGCGGAAGGAGGCACCGGCCGCGGAAGTCCTGACGCCGGGCTCGCCGAGTGGCCGTGCCCGGGGGTGGGTGCCCGCGGCCGGAGGGCAGAGGAACGACCCCCTGGGGGGGGCGGGGGCGGGGCCCAGGTCGGGAGAGTGGGATGTTTCCGCGTGCCCCTCGCCGGGGACCCCACCGCCCCCACGTGACCCCGGGGCCGAGGACCCTTACCAGTTTTTTAAGACAAGAGTTGTGATCAGAGCAGCTATGACCATGATGAGGGACACGGTGATGGTGACAATCTGATGGACGGCCAGACCTGCGAACAGAGGGGGCGCCACATGAGGGCCTCGCGGGGGGGTCCACGGCCCGGCCCGCTGACCGGCTGCGAGCGCCCGGGCCCGTCTGAGCTGCCTGCGTGCGCCTGGGCCGGGGCCGCCGCGGACGGCTGTGTGGGGACAGCCCAGACCCCCAGGCCCCCAGCCCCCCAGGCCCCAAGGCCCCGTCTTCCCCACGCATAGCACCTGTGCTGGCAGGTGCTGGAGTCCAGGGAGGGCCGCCCCAGCCCCGGCCTCCCTGCTCCTTCCCAGAGCTTTCTCGGGTCCCGAGCCGGGACCTCGCCTATGGTCCGCTGCATCCTTTCTTGCACCTGCAGAGCCCCTCACCTGGCGCAGGTAAGCCCTGGCCGCTCTCTCTCCTGCCACCCTGGGCAAGCTCTGCTCCTTGGTTCTGCACACCCTGGTGGCTGGCCTGCACGGGGTGGGGGGGGGTGCCTGGGGCAGGGGGACCTGGCCCGGCCCGGGAGGAGCCGGCACGGCCCAGGGCGAACTGGGAAGGTGGGAGACAGCCTTGCAGGCTCAGGGGCCCTTGGGTCCTCGGGAGACACCTTCTGCTCTCCGCAGCTCTCCAACGAGGCCACTGCCTGCTCTGTGGTCTGGCCCTGCTCCGTGCGAGGGTGCACAGTGGCGGGGGGTCAGCAGAGCAGGGACAGGGCTGGCCACTCCAGAGGCAGGGCAGCCGGAGCCCAGCCTAGAGCTGTCCGGTTGCCCACGTGCAGAGGACGGGCACCCTCTCTGGCTCTCCCCCTGCCCCCACCTCGCCCCCACCCCGCCCCCACCCCATCTCCAGCTTCCGCTCCAGCCCCCCCCATCAGGCTTCACTCCTCCTGACGACACGCCTGGAACATCCCTCTGGGGACACCCCCGGCGGTGTCCACGGGTCAGTGTGGCCACCCGGAAGGTCCAGGGCTCTGGCCGCATATGCTGCTGTGAGCGAGAACCGTACCTGGGAGCCAGGTAGGAAAGGCCGTGGCGGGCCCCGCAGGCCCCCGCAGTGTGGGCACGCCCCACCCCGGCCGTGCGGACGCCCCACGCTCTCTCACCTGAGACGGCTGAGCGCCCCTCACTCCCCACGCCTGGTGCCCGATCCTGGCGTCCATTAGCACAGAGCCACCCATCCCACCCGAGGTCCCCGGCGGGTCCTGCAGTGAGAATGACGCGTGTATGGGCCCCGGTGTGGCGGGTTTCCGGGTGTGACACTTCTCAAAGACGCAGTCTCCAAACAGAGCTAATGAGCGACGCAAGGTTGGCGTGACCAGAGAACAAGCCTTCTCTTCCCGTCGGCCCCTCCACGGGTGCCGGGAGCGGCTCCCGTCCTGCACGCACGGCACGGCACCCCTAGGAAGCCCGGGGAAGACACGTGGATGTCCTGGGCCTCCCTCATTCTTTCATCTGTTAACCCGCCCCGTGGATTGAGTGCAGGCCTGCGAAGCAAAGGGTTGCTGGTTCGATTCCCAGTCGTGGCACGTGCCTGGGTTGTGGGCCAGGTCCCCAGTAGGGGGTGTGCAACAGGCAACCACACATAAATGTTTCTCTCCCTCTCTTTCTCCTTCCTTTCCCCTCTCTCTAAAAACAAATAAATAAAATCTTTAAAAAAAGAACCAGGTTTGAGCACCTGCTACGTTCGAGGCAGTACCAGGTGTGACCGCCCTCAGGAAGGGCTGCGCTGGTGCCCCGTGTTTATAGTGGCCGCACTCACAGCTGCTTCTGGCCAGTGGCTTCCTGCACACCGGGGCCCGGTCTGCGGCAGCTGCGGTGCCCCTCTGAGACGGCCTGGCTTCTCCGCGAGGACTGCCCAACCTGCCGGCCAGTCGGGAGAAGCCCCATGCCATACGGACCACCCCTGGTCTCAGCAACGATGGGGTGCCCACCAGCTTCGGCCATCCCTATCGATTTCACCAGCTTCCTTGAGACCCGCCGAGACACTGCCGACAGAGGGGCTGCAACAGGCGGCCCGTCCACGGACGACCAGGGAGGGGGGCCGCTCGGTCTCCCCTCACCCTCCGCCCACACGCGCCCTCCGGCCCAGTCCAGGGACCGGCCTGCTGTCGGGAAAACTGCGGGCTCCTGCCGTGTCCGTGCTCCCTGGGGTGCGGGGTGAGCTGGTGACGATGATGATGGTGATGGTGGTGATGATGGTGGTGATGGTAGTGGTGGTGGTGATGGTGATGGTGGTGAAGATGAAGGTGATGAAGCAGATGGTGATGAAGATGACGGTGATAAAGGTGATATGATGATCATGGTGGTGATGAAGATGGTGGTGATGATTATGATGATGGTGATGGTGATAATAATGTTGGTGGGAATGATATGATGGTGATGAAGGTGATGGTGGTGATGGTGGTGATGATGGTGGTGATGAAGGTGATGGTGGTGATGGTGGTGATGGTGGTGATGGTGGTGATGATGGTGGTGATGAAGGTGATGGTGGTGATGGTGGTGATGAAGATGATGGTGGTGGTGATGGTGATGGTGATGATGGTGATGATAATGGTAGGAATAATGAAGGTGGTGATGACGAAGATGGTGGTGATGAAGGTGATGATGATGGTGGTGGTGATGAAGATGATGGTGGTGGTGATGGTGATGGTGATGATGGTGATGATAATGGTAGGAATAATGAAGGTGGTGATGACGAAGATGGTGGTGATGAAGGTGATGATGATGGTGATGAAGGTGATGATGATGGTGGTGGTGATGGTGGTATTGATATGATGACAGTAGTGCTCACTGGAGGTGATGACACTGATCACAGGCAAGCTCGACAAGTGACAATAGTCATCAAGTGTGTATTACCCCAGTTAATCGTGGCAGCAACTGCCCACGGCAGATACCGTCGCCGGGAGTGGAGGGGACACCTGAGTGGGCGAGGCTGTGCAGACTCCTTGGCCCGCACGCAGGGCCCGCCGGCCCCAGGGTCCCCCCTGAGGACTAAGACACCACGGCTCCGAGCCCAGGCCGTGTTCATCCCGGTGCTGGCTCTGCTCTGGCCTGGCGGCCGCACTCACACCCACAGGGGGCCTGGTGCCCCCACCTCCCTGAGGGGTACAAGCTCCTACATCCTAAGGCGGGTGCTGTGGCCCCACCGCCTCCCCCGACAGGCCCCTGGGGAGCGTGGCAGGCTCAGGCCCAAAGCCTTTCAGCCACTTCTCGGGGGGTCACGCCCCTGTCCCCGAGACAAGAACCGAGTCGTTGTTGCCGTGGCTACATCTGCCCAGTTTCAGGTGAGCAGAACCCGGTGCCGATGGAGGTGGGTGGCGCCCGAGTGGGAGGACCGGCAGGAGCTGTGGGCGCCGGTCCCTGTGCACGGCCAGCCCGGCTGGGGGTGCTGAGGGTCCCCCAGCCTGAGCGGGGCCAGGGCAGGCCCAGGCCGCCGCCAGACCCCGACCCCTCATCCTGTCACCAAGGCGATGCCTGCGCGGGTGAAGGGACTGTAACGGCCGAAGCCCCTGGGGGAGGAGACCGCCGTGAGCGGCCGAGTCTCAGCTGCTGGGCCCCCTCCCGTCCCCCTGGGGGCGAGGACGGGAGGCCATCCACTCTCCTCTCCGGGGGGACGGAAGAGACTGGGGTCCAGAGGGAAACTGTTGGCTCCAGAGACCCCCCCTCCCGCCGCCCGATGCGTGACTCTCTCCAACACCGACAGTCGCCCCTTTGCCTGAGGGCCTCACGCGTCTCCGGGCCTCTTAAGAAAAGGACGAAGTCACTGCCATCTTTGCACCTGCCCTGGCCCCACTCTGAGAAGTGACTCTGTAGCCGAGAAGCAGGGAGTGAAGTGAAGTCCCCCACGGGACGCGCCAGGGTACAGTTCAGAGGAGGCGGCGTGTGGGTCCGTGACCGGCAGAGACGGTCTGGGCGGAAAGACCGCCGTGCTGAAACGGCCGTGCTGCCCAGAAAGACGTCCCTCCACCCGCCTTCACGCACGCAATCTGCGGGGTCCATCCCCCGTCCTGCGTTTTTGCGCCCTGCACAGTTGGGGGGAAGCCCTTCCGGAGGGGGGGGGGGCGGCCGACAGAGCGGGGGTGGCAGGCGCACCTCCGTCCCGGAGTCCCGGTGAAAACCCAGCGGGCGGCTGACTGCAAACCTGACCGGCACGCGGCCACACTGTGGGGAACTATGGGTTAGGGGCCAGCGTCTCGCTGCCCCTCACCGTGTTACTACGGGCGCCCCTCCTCATCCACCGGGACCTGCGCCCGGACCCCCGGGGACGCCCGGCGCTGGGGACAGCGCCAGAGCCTCTTTGTGCTGCGGTTTGTCCTGCACACACAGACACTCGATAGAGCTGAGTGTGCAAGTCGGGCACAGTAAGAAACTAAAAACGACGGATAATAAAACAGAGCAATGGTGACAATATAAATATAAGGTGATATGTGCATGGCTTTGGGGCCCTCGCTAAGTGAAATGCGGGTCCCTTAAACACTTGCACTGTGGCACCTGTTGGTCTGATAAGCGAGACAGGTGCCCAGTGACAGGTGGGCAGGCACCACGACAGCCTGGACATGCGGGACAAAGGGGCAGGTCACTCCCAGGCGGGACACGGCAGGGTGGCTGGAGGTTTCGTGACACGGCTCAGAACTGCACGCAACTTAAAACTTGGGAGCTGTTGCTTATTGGATGTTCATGGAATATTCCGGAGCTGCCCTTGACCATTCATAGGAAACTGAGAAAGCGAAACCGTGGGCAAGGGAGAATCCCTCTGCTGCCAGACGGCTCCTTGCGTCCACGCCTGCCAGGGGCTCCGCTGGGCCACGGGGCTCTCTTCCAGGGCTACAGGGGACCCCACAGACCCGGCGGTCACGGTGGCTGACCGAGGCCCTGACCGTGCACGCGCAGTAAAAATGACGTTTGCCCAAAGCGGGCTGGAAGATGGAAACCCCCTAAGCGTGGGTCCCCCCTCCCGTCTCCGGGAGGTCAGCTGGGAAGGGGACGGAAGCGCGTGTGGGCAGCTGTGTGTGCCCCATCGGACGGAGGCAGCTGTCCGGTG